TCATCATTTGGATCCTGTCTTTATGCAAAGCTATTCCTACCATCCCAATTGCAATGACCATTCTATGAGATAGAGCAATTAGTCAATTTAATAACAAAAAATAGTTTGAATTTATTCATTAATGTATTTAAAAGTGTTTAGTTGCAGATGAACATAGTTTATGTCAAAATGCTTGGTTCATTCTTTCTTAAACCAATTAAGATGTAAGGAGGCTTCCTTGTAAGAGACATAAATGCTAAATGTAAATAGATTTTTAACAGAACGGTGTCAGGGGAAGCCTGCTACTGAGATCCCTGCTGCTACCCAATAAGGGCTGGCCACACCAGGAAAAAAATTTCAAGACCAAGTCATTAAGCAAAAGGAGATGCCAGGACTTAGGTGAAGACTTCGGGTTAGGATTAAAAAATAAAATTAAAACAAGAACAAAAACAAAAGAAATCAATTGAAATAGTTTCCCTTGTTAGACTGTGAACTTCATAAAGGCAAGGACTTTCTCTAGCTTACTTATTGTTTAACTTCACACACTGCATCAAAACATAGCAGACATTCAATAAATATTAGCTGAAAGAGTAAATGAATAATAAATGTGATTCAGAAAAAAACCCCAAAACACAGAAAGTCAGATCAGGGACACACGAGATCCGAAATTGACTGCCAATCCAATTTTGTGGTAAACGGCACCACTACATCTGAGTTCATCTGCAAGTCACTGGAGGGGCAATGAGAGTGAGACCTGGACAGAGAGCACAATGATAGGGACCTGGGTGTGGGAGTTCAGGTAAGCATGTAAGAGCGTTAAGGTCTTAATGTCCTTGATGATGCTAATCTTCTCTCTAAATGACCCTTGCTGAAGGGTAGCCTCCCACGATTAGAACAGAAAATACAAAGGTTTCAAGAGTCAAGTGAACCACATATAGGTTCAAATTTGATTATTTATTAAGGAGAATGCACTGAGGTGTTATCATTAGTTAATACTAGGTGAGTATGTACTTAATAATCCTAGCAGAAAATAAATCTGTGCATACGACTTCAGAAATGATTTCTTATTTCTCAGTTACCTCCCCTATTTTTCCTGGTATGTCAAGGGTGTTTTATATATATATATATATATATATATATATATATATATATATATATATATATATATATATATAAACGTCTCATCTTGACTTCTTTTAACTGCTTTTATCTGAGGCTAAAGTATTTTTTCTGCAGGGGTCAATTAGACTCACTTGTTATAATCATTGACAGGTGCAAAAACATGTACAGATGGTGAGTCTGACTCTTAACCATTTCTGATACCAACATTGGAGAACTGTGATTCTCACATACTTTTATCAAAACACCTTGGTATCCTGACAAGAGGCTCAGCTGAAACAACAAAAAGCTGTTGCTGGGCTGACTGAGAGCTCTGAATTGAGGTTCCCTCTTCCCAAATGATTGCCACTAATCACAATTTAGATAGCAGTAGTATTCTCTGGGGTATGAGAGGTCTATAACCTGAAGTAACTAAATTGATAACAGAAGGGATGTTGATTACCTATTTGGTTATGGAAGAGTTCTGAAGATCACCAGTAGCTTCTGAATCTAATAGGTGCTTTTCTGCCTTGATCTCACTGGATCGCTTAGCAGCTTTAAACATAGTTGACCAATTTTTTCTTTTTGATCAGCAATTTTAGTTTCTTTGATACCTCTTATACCTGGTCCTCCCTGTACCAAACTGATTTCTCCTTTTCAATCTCATGCTGAATCCTCCTATTTAGCTAAGCATCTAAATTTGTAAATGCTAAGGTATTACTAAGACATAGCTCTGTGCACTCTCTCCCCTATTCCTCTTCCTATCCTCTACTTTCCTCTTTTCTCTTCCAGAAATTTGTTCTTAGATGCTTTCATCCAGTAGAATGGCCTTAAATACCACCTATATGACTGCTACCTTTGTGTCTCAGCCAGGATTTCTTAGACTCCAAATTGACATATCCTATTGCTTATCTGACTTATTCTCTTAGATTTCTAATAGGCATCTCAAATTTAATTTAGCCAAAACAAAATTCTTTATTTTCCACCTTCAAATCTGCTCTTTTTCTAGGTTTTCCTTTTTTTTGTTGTTTTGTTTGTGAATGGCACCACCATTCATTTGACCAAGCCAGTACCATTATTTTCCTTCCCTCCACATTTGATCAGTCAGCAAATCCTGCCAGACCTGTCTCTAAAATATGTCTACTTTTCTCCTACTCTGCTGTTAAGACCTTAGTCTAAGTCATCATCATTTCTTACTTGGATTATTGCAATAACCTCCTAGCTTCTACTCCTTACCTTTCTCCCTTCTTTCTTCACAAAGACAGCCAGAGTGATGCTTTTAAAAAATGTAAACCAGACATTGTCACTCTTCTAAAATTGCCCCAATGGCTTTTCATGGCATTTGAAATAAAATACAAACTCTTTCCATAAGCTGCATAGTGCTAAAAAATCTTACCTGTGCCCACTTAACTCTCTGACTACTTTTAATTCCACTCACACCATTCATTGCTCACAAAGGCCCAGGTGCTCCACCTTCTTCTGTTCCTTAAAGGAACCAGGTGTGCTGTACTTTTGAACTTCTACATGTATAGTTATCTAAGTTTATTTTACTTCCTTGTTAATTTTTATTTGTCTTACCCCATTAGGATGCAATATTTATAAGAGCAGAACCTTTGCTATCCTATTCACATCTTTCAATCCAGAAAAAAAGGAGAGGTGGCCCAAAATGGCACATAGCTAGTGCCTTTATGGCAGAAATGTTTTGGTGTCCTTGGATTTTGTGTTTCAATATGTAAAAATAGTTGTCAGAATTTGTGTTGATTTAATTTTAAAAAAAAAGCAGTCATTGTGATGATTGCTCCAGAATTTGATTCATTCCTATTAATGTTCTATCCTTAAAAATATTCCATTTTTGCTTGTGGTAATTTGTCACTTTGAATGAAACAGATTTAGCAAAAACATTGTGCTCTGACACTCTTGAGTGTCACTGTTGAGTGGTCTTGATCGTGATCTCCAGTCACCAACGTACCATAAAACTCCATCTTCAAATTCTTCTTTTGGCTTCTGAATTTCTTCAGTGTCTCCCTTAGTTTCTTTGGCCAGATCCTCTTCCTTTCTTCAGTTCCAAATGGTGAGGCACCAGAGGGACCAATTCTTTATCTACACTCAGTGATCTCAGCCAGCACATGCATAAAAGCCATTTACACACTGATGATTCCTCAGAGTTACAGCTCTATCTCTAACTTTTTTCTTAACATAAGATCTATTTGACAATAGTTTCTGGAAGTAAAAAGGCCTACAAAATGTAACACTTCTAAGCCAGAATCCTTGATTTTTTTCTTTAAAACCTATTCTTTGAGTTTCTCATATATGTGAATGATATGTAATTCACACAGTTTCTTGGGTCAAAAGCTCTGGAATTATCTTTGACTTCTCTCTTTTTCATAGTTCATATCAATTTATTACCAAATCCTGTCACACCGCCACATGGCAAAGGTTGTGGATCATAAACTGCATTGTGAATTTGTTTCTTCCTTGAGGAAAGGATTGCCAGTCGCAGTAGGTCAGTGGCCTGATTGTGGGGGAGGTAACTCTACAGGTAAGGCAGTACCCTTCAGCAGAGGGCAATTTTCCAGAGGGGAAGCTAAGAACCAACAGCAGCCAACGCAGCAACTGGGGGATGGTGCATCGGCCCAGTGAAGGGAGCTGGGCAGACCACCCCAATATCGTCTACATTGGTATTAAAAGGGAATGTTTGTAAAGCACACTATTCATTCATTCATTCATTCATTCATTCAACAAATATTTATTGTAGCTGCCACGGGCCAAGTATACCAGCCCTGGCATTCACTGGTGAATAGACAAGGTCCCTGCAGCATGGATAGTGAGAAAACAGGATTTTAATAAAATAAGCATGCAATCACGATAAGATACATGCTGAATTATCTATCACCAAGTAATGAATTAAAGCAAGATTGTAGAAATAAATCCATGATTTTGTATATTTAATGGTTTCTTATAAATCCTTGCTGTAAATCTTAGATTGTATAAACTCTCTGTATCACAGTAATATAATGCTAACTGTATATTAATCAAATAGTACTCAGGCATTATTTGAAAATACAAATAGAATAAAGACATGTGTTTTTAGCCTAGAAACTGTATTGGTGTACAAGTCCTATACTTGATCACTGTTCAAAAATCAAGATAATTTTTCTCTTAGTGAGAGCTGAAACAGAAGAAAAGTAAGAATTAAAAAGTCTAAAGGCAACTAAGATCTTGGGTTGGCTGCTAATTCTTTTTTGTCTTTTGTAAATTACCCCCTAATTCCTCTCAATGGCTGGTGAAGGCAACAATAAACACTGAATGAAGAGTAAGGATCTTGGTTTTGGGGAACATTCAAGTTCACAGGCTGCCCACAATCCCCTAGTCCATGTGGAGGCAAACATTTCATTGAAGTCAATGAATTGTTATAAAATGTTCACCATTATAAGGAAGGCATAACTATGTATAAAAACAACAAAATTTAAGGAACAAGAAGCCATTTGAATAAATAGGGACATGTCACAAGGTTCCAAGAAATTTGAGAAGTTAGTATAGGAGGTAAGATCTGCCAAGGACAGTATAGTAGGAAAACTTGTTTTAGCCATTTAATTATTAGAGAGAAATACACAGAAATATTTTTAAGTAACAACGAATAAATTGGATACAAGTAAATAGCCACTTGTAGCTCCTAAAATAGGTCTATTGTCATTTATTATTATTATTTTTTTAAATCTTTGCATGCTGCTATGGAAACTACTATCCTGAAAAATAAGCCAGCTAATGAGCAACATAATACATAGTATATTTCTTACTTTCTTTGCCACAGAGCAAAATTTCAAAGGGATATAATTTTGTTGAAATGTCACCAAACCATCTCTTTAGGAGAATGTAATGACAGCAGAAATAACAAGGCTTATTTTCAATAATTCTGTTCATACCTCAAATCCCTGTGGTCTTCCTAGACTCTCTTTAATATGTTTCCATGCAACAAGAATCTCTGACACAGACATACTTGTAGCCTTGACATCTGTGGGAGCGGCACTGGGTTCTGTACGAAGGAAAAGGGAAAGAATAAACCTCTATGGTAACAAGTTATGTCTATCAAAGCATTGCATCTCAATATGTCAGGTGTTACTTCTTTCCACCTTATTTTTGAAATGAAATGCTGTGGTAGTTATGAAAAACACAAGATAAAAAGATGATCTTCTTGAATTTCTATACTCAAGTCTAGTTTCATCAATACCTTACCAATGACAAATGACAAATCTAACAAGACAAATAAAGATATTTATTCTTGGGTTAGCTAAGACATTTCTGGAGAAGTTAAATTGGCTGACTTAAATTGCCTGCCAGTCTAGCATAATAAAAAAAATGGACTAGGAGTCAGGCTTGGCTTTTTTGCTGTTGCTGATGCTGTTGTTTTTGCCTTTAAAGAAATTATATATTTACATTTATGCAAGTTGCCTCACCTCTTCCTAAGTCCCAGTTCCCTCATCTGTAACATGGGCATAATAAGAGTATTTAGCGCAGAGATTTTTAAGGTTCGTTTTAATTAGAATGATACATATAAAATATTTAGCACAGTATTTACCACTTAAAGCAGTTATTCACAGAATATCATGTATTATTATTTTATTTTATTATTTACCCTATGCAGGCATAAAGAGTCTAAATTTCATGAGATTTTTGTTGTTGTTATTCCAACAACAAAACTACATTTCCATGATTGTATAGGGAATAGTTTATGAATCATGATATTTAAAAGGCATGTGTTGACTTTTAACACAGGTGTAGAATGAAAAGTTCCTGAAGGTCTCAGTGCTGTCACTATGCCCAGTGACCTTTCTCACTATTTTTTTCAAATACACCATGTCTGACTGGCATCCATCAAGAGGAGTGCTCTATTGGAGATTGCACTCTATGTGACAAGTGAAATATTTCTAGTGTTGACATTGCAGAATCATAAATACCGTGTCACAAACACACATTAAATGAAATGGCAGAAAAAAGGCCAGACATTAGTTCAAATAGTATTGTACAAAGTCAATTTAATAAACTCTAATCCCCTCAAATTGTAGAGCCTGATACTAACCCTATATCACTGGTAAGAGCTCAGATTAATCTGTTGAAAATGTTTTTTGCTAAATTTAGGGAACCATATGGCCAAGCTAGAGTTCTAAACATTTTTTTTAAATCATTATTAGGAGTTCTGGTCAAGAAGAAGCAAAAGGTAAATACTGTGCCTGCATCCTCACATAATCACATCAAAATTACTAATTATAGAACAACCATCATTGACAATCACCTGAAGTCTAGCTGAACTGAAGCCCTACAACTAAGGACATACAGAAGAAGCCACCTTCAGACTGGTGGGAGAAGTGGAGATGCAGAAATGGGATGGTCCCAAACCCTCTTGTGGCGGTTAAAAATTGAGAGGGATATTTTGGCTGTGGAGGTCCCCTCCAGAGGAGCAAGAGGTCTCAGCCCCACACCAGGCTTCCCCAGTTCAGGGTTCCAGTGCCTGGGACAGAAGTCCCCACAACTTCTGGCTGTGAAAACCAGCAGAGATTGTGGCTGAGTGAGACGAAGATGACTAGAGTTCCAGGTGCTCCTCTTAAAGGGACTGTGCATGGACTTACTTGCTGACAGACTCACTTGCTCTGAGCTCCAGGGTGGGGGCAGCAACTTGAAAGGCACCAGGGGCATACAAGGAGGAACTGAATTACCTGAGGGCAGAAGGAGCGGCTTTCTCCCAGAGAGAAGTATTGGCAGAAGCCATAGCTCCTCTGTTGAGCTCTCCCCTTGACTCAGCGTGCAGATGCAGGAATCCACCATACTGAGTATGTATCAACCTGGTTAACATTTTTGCTCTGCCCTGGTGATTCCCTAAGACTTTGTCACAGCCAATTAGTGGGTGCACCAAAGCCATGTACATGTCTTTTCCATCCCAAAAGCCTGTCTTGGCTTATGCGGTGGACTTTCCTAAAATCTCTGGAAGGTTCACAAACCCCAAACAAGCAGCATCTGGCCTCAGCACACTCCATTCCTCTTGTTAAGCAGCCCCAAGCCTGGCACTAGTGGCAGCCAGCCTCAGTTCACAGCACAGCTTCTCCTAGACACCCCCAAGCTCAGCACAAGTGGCAACCATTTGCAGATTGTAGCTCACACCAAGTGGCCCTGAGAAGGGCACAGGAAGCAACGGGGACTTGGCCTGAAACAGAGCCCCTCCCAAGAGGCCCCAGAACCAACACTCCTGGTGGCCTGCTTCAGACAACACCAGAGCACCACCCAACCACCTACACAAAAAGACACACCCAAAGTGTGGACTGGGTAGACACTAGAGCCCTGCTAATTCCAATCCTGATCTGTAGGGTCAGACCCTACACAAGAGCTCTTCTACTAGCCATGGCCAGTTCTCACAACCAATCAGTTGCAGGGTCAGTCTCACCCATGACATGCAAACAGCAACTACAACAGGAGAGCACACACAACCCACACAAGGGACACACCTGGAGCATCCAGTGCAGGTACTAGGGAAACTGGGCCACTGGGCCCCACACAACACCTGCCAATTACATTTGTGAACTTGTAGCAATGATGTTGCAAACCTTTTTTTTTTTTTTTTAGCTGAGCCATCCTGCCACCTGTTGGCAGCTCAGCTCGGGCCGGGAATTGAAGCGGCGACCCTGTTGCTCAGAGCTCGCACTCTTGAGTGAGCTCTTAACCAACTGATCCACTCGTCCAGCCCTCACTAACCTTTTTTGGTATTAGAGGGATTATTCATTATGAATTTGTACCAACTGGACAAACAGTTCACCAAGTTTACTATTTGGAAGTGCTGAAAACGCTGTGTGAAAAACTTAGATGGCCTCAACTTTTAGCCAACAATTGATGGCTCTTGCATCATGACAATGCACCATCTCATACATGGCACTATCTGTGAGGGACTTTTTAGCCAATAAACAAAAACTGTATTGGAACACGCTCTCTACTCACCTGATCTGCCCCCAATGACTTCTTTCTTTATCTGAAGATAAAGGAAATATTGAAAGGAAGATATTTTGATGACATTTAGGACATCAAGGGTAATACGACGACAACTCTGATGGTCATTCCAGAAAAAGAGTTCCAAAATTGCTTCAAAGGGTGGACTAGGTGCTGGCATCAGTGCATAGCTTCTCAAGGGGACTACTTGGAAGGTGACCATAGTGATATTCAGCAATGAGCTATGTAGCACTTTCTCTAGGATGAGTTTGGGAACTTAATTTTCAGACCTCATACATAAGGACACTCTAAGAAGACTGGGAGACACAGCAACCCTAAGTAATACATAGAAACAAACAAAGGGAGGTAGGTAAAATGGGGAGACAAGTAAACATGTTCCAAATGAAAGAACAGGACAAAGCTTCAGGTAAAAGAACTAAACAAAATGGAGACAAGCAATCTACTAGAGTCAGAGTGCAAAACACTGGATATAAGGATGCTCAGTGACCACAGTGAAAACTTTGGGAAAGACATAGGAAACAACAATGGAGAGAGAAAACATAAAAAAGACCGAGTCAGAAATAAAGGATACAATAACTGAAATGAAGAACATACTAGAGAGAATCAACAGGTTAGATAAACCAGAGGTTTGAATCAGTGATTTGGAGGATAAAGTAGCAGAAAACACCCAATCAGAACAGCAAAACGAAAAAAGAATCCAAATAAATGAGGATAGTTTAAGGGGCCTCCGGGACAACATCAGCACACCAACATTTGCATTATATGTGTACCAGAAGGAGAAGAGAGAGAGCAAGGAATTGAAAAACTATTTGAAGAAAAAGTGACAGAAAACTTCCCTAACCTGGAGAAAGAAATAGGCATTCCAAGCCCAAGAAGCACAAAGTGTCCCAAACAAGATGAACCAAAAGAGGCCCACACCAAGACACATTATAATTAAAGTACAAAAGGTTAAAGACACAGAGAGGAGCTTAAAAGCAGCAAGAGAAAGGCAGTGAGTTACCTGCAATGCAGCTCCCAAAAGACTGGCAGCTGATTTCTCAACAGAAACTGTGCAGGCCAAAAGGGATTGGCAGAAAATATTCAAAGTGATGAAAAGCAAGGACCTACAACCAAGATTAGTCTATGTAGCAAAGCTATCATTTAGAATTGGAGGAGAGATAAAGAGCTTCCTAGACAAGAAGAAGATAAAGGAATTCATCACCATCAAGCCAGTATTACAAGAAATGTTAAAGGGACTTCTTTACAAAGAAAAATAAAAAAGGTAAAAAAAAATATGAATAATAAAATGGCAATACCTACATATCTATCAGTAGTTACTTTCAATATAAATAGATTAAATGCTCCAATCAAAAGTCACATGGTGTCTGAATAGATAAGAAAACGAGACCTTACATATGCTGCCTACAAGAGATTCACTTTAAATTCAAAGACTGAAATATAGTCTGAATGTAAAGGGATGAAAAAGCTTATTTTATGAAAATGGAAATGAAAACAAAAAGCTGGGGTAGTAATACTTATAGCAGACAAAATAGACTTTAAAGCAGAGACAAAAAAGGACCCAGCAATCTTACTTATGGGTATTTATCTGAGAAACTCAAGAGACTACTTTAAAGGGAAATGTACATCCATATTTACAATGGCCAAAATATGGTGGCAACATGGGTGTCCATCAATGGATGAATGGATAAAGAAGAGGAGGTACAAATATACAATAGAATGTTACTCAGCCATAAAAAAGAATGAAGTTTTTCCATCTGCAACCACCTGGGTAGATCTAGAGGGTACTGTGCTGAGTGGAGTAAGTCAGAGAGAGTAGACAAATTCCATGTGATTTCTCTTATATGAGTAATCTAGAGAATAGGATAAATGAACAATCAAAATGGAAACAAGCACATAGATACACAGAGTATTTTGATGGTTGCCAGATGGGGGGTTGAGGGATGGGGAGGGGATTAAGAGGTACAAATTGATAGTTACAAAATACTCATGGGGATGTAGAGTATAGCATGGGGGATATAGTCAGTAGCATTGTAATAACT